GCGTCTAGGTAGCAGCGGTTGTAGTAGGTGAGGCCGTCCGAGGCGCAGGTGAAGCTGGGCTCCTTGCCGCAGCGTTCGCGGCAGCGGCACACGGGCTGCCCGTCCCAGATGTCGCAGTCGGAGCCCTGCTGCGCGCACACGAAGCCCTCGCACGAGGCGGCGGCTGGTGCTGTGGGGTCCCCGGGACCGAAGCGCGCTGCCACGCAGCTCCGCAGACCGCACACGTTGGGGCAGCAGCGCTCAGGGCCTGCGCAGTCCTGGGGATAGAGGGGGTGGCTCAAGGTGGGCCCACCGCTGCTGCCCCGCCCTTGCCAGCACTGGTCGGCGCCCCCCGCCCCCCAACCCAAGCCTAAGATGCTAGTGGTACATCTGCCCCCCAAGCAGCCTCACTATTCCATCTCTGAGCTTGTCTGCTACCTGGAAAGCAGATGAGTCATGCTCCTCTTGTTGGGTGACCAGAGTTACTGCACCCCTCCCTAGGACCACTCCCACCCCCACGCAGGTTTCATCCTTCCAGGCCCAGAGCCTTCACCCCACTGCTCCCAGGGAAAAAGGGCACCAGCCCGGCACAGCGGGGGTGCCTCTCTCACTCCCTAGCCCACCCTCAAAGGCCAGAGTGCAGCACTAAGAGGTCTCGGTGCTCAGGTGGGGAGGGGTGGGATCCCAGAGTAGGGGGATCCTGGGACAGAGCCTGCCTAGTCCCTGATGACCCTGTTGCTCCCCTCCCTTAGCTCACCTGGTCTTCCAGGCACTCTCTTTCACAGGTGCTCTGGGCATCCACCCACAGGTGGGGGTTGAGCTGGTTAGGGCACACACCTAGGTGGCTCCCAGGCTCCAGTGACGGCAGCAGGCTGGCCCCTGTGCCCTGCCCTGCAGTGGTGGCAGCGTCGGGGGCAGGGAGCAGCAGCGGCAGCAGCAGCAGCAGGGCCGGCATGAGGGCCAGCAGGGTGTGGCCGGGGTCCCTGGCCCGCCCTGGGGAGGCCCTGCCAGCATCCACCCTGGCTCTGCTGGGTCCCACCTCCCGAACTGGGCCAGCTGGTCCTGGCCTCTTGCCGGCCTGGGTCTGGCCAATGCCCACAGCAGATGTCCCTGCACGGTGTGTGGGTGTGGGGCTGGGTGGTCTGGGCCCCTCAGAGCTCCTGGAGCCTGTCCTTGCTGCTCAGGCAGGCCATCAGCTTGACTGGGGGGAGGGGAGGGGAGTGGGCTGGTCCAGGAACAGAGCCACTGGCCAAGCAGGGTCACCGAGGGGCGGGGAAGGCCAGCTCTGGCCAGAGGGGGGAGGGGACACAGGGGGTGCTCTGTAACCTGAGCTCCACCCCCTTGCCCTGGGCTTTGGGATCAAAGCCCCTGGCCTGGACCCTCCCCCCTCCTCAGGGCCAGAATTGTGGGGGCAGGGCTGGCCAGCCTGGACTTTTGTCAGATCTCTTGGAGGGGGCTCCCACAAGGTGGGGGTGGGCAGGCTGCCCTTGGGTCCCACCCAGGCTGGCCACTGCTGTCACTCCCTGCACATCGTCTGCCTGCAGGGGACATCTAGAAGTGGGGGGGGGGGTCCATGTTCAGCTCCAGAGAAGGGGGGAGTAGGGGATCTTCCCCTTCCCTTGTGACCGGGGGGGGGGGCTGGTGCACCCCATAACTCTCTTGCAGAGAAGGCCATGGTACACCAGTGCTGGACCCAGCCCAGGAAAAGCGACCCCAAAGAACAGAGCAGCTCCAGGATGGACACATCCAACCTGCATCCTCCAGCCAAGCCCCTGGAATGGGGTGGGAATTGTGGCTCCTGCTGCTAAATTCGAATTCCTGAGGAGACAGGGCAAGGGAACCAGGCGGCTGGCCCCACCAGCAGGTTCAAATGTCCCCAAGTCTTCCCAAGGCTGAAGGTGCTGGGCTGACAGGCCACCAGCAGAGTGTCTGTGTGTATGCATCAGCTCTGTGGCCCCTGCGAGGGTGGGGGCAGGGTCCTGGATAAACTTCAATGAGTCCCAGGACAAAGGGCAGCCGGAGCTGGCCCCTCTAAATCCCTGCCACTCCAGAGCAGCGAGGGTCCCTGGGAGATGGGAAACTGTCCCTGTGACCTTTCATCTGACCCTCTGACCCAGGAGGCAGGGTAATAAGAGCCTGATGTGCTCTGGATGAGGCCAAACTGCTCCGGTCCCCTCCACAGGGGCCAGAGCCACTCCACATATAGCCCCCAGCTCGGACTGGCTAGCCCCACTACAGCACAGAGGCCACAAAGCCGCCCTCAGCAGGGGGGACAGAGCTGGAATCCAGACCCCCAGCTCACCCCTCACTGGAGGCTGAGCTCCAACCGGCAGCAGTAGGATTGGCAAGGGCAGGGAGGTAAAGACCTCCATCAGTGGGGCCAGGTCACCCCCTGCCTGTGCCACAGCCCCCGCCCACCAGGGCATCCACCGAGATTTAAAACCAGACTTTAATTTACACAAAGGAAGCAGTGTCACCGTCGACTTACATTTACTGTACAAAGAAATAGAAATGGTTCGTGGGGAGAAGACATAGGCATGGCCATGCCAGCAGCCGCGAAGGTAGTGTCAATGCAAGTGCGGCTGCGAGGGGTTCTGCCCAACTAACTCCCAGGAAGGGGCCTGCAGGGCGAGCAGGGTGGAAGCCTAGGGATAGGTCCACAGGCCAGCAAGGCTCAGCCACCCAAAATGTCCCAGACAGGCAAGGGGCACAAGGCAGGAGGTAGAGTTGAGCACCAGTGTGACCATCATGTTGCCCAGCGAGGGGGACAAGGGGGAGAGGCAGGTCCAGCTGGGCCTCCAGCAGCGTGCCTGACCTGCCCTCCCCTCCCCCAGAGCAGAGGCCGCTCTGTGGGTAACCCTGTGGAGAGGGGTGGTCACGGTGTACCAGAGTCTGGACAGCGGCTGCTGCCTGGAGGGTCCCACAGTTGATGGCACCCGGAACCCTGCATCCACCTGCAGTGCGCACTCCGCCTCTTGCTCCAGGGGGAGTGACAGGGAGGGGCAGGGGTGCGCTGGCACTAGGGGTAAGGTGCCACAGCCTCTTGGGAATGGCCACCATGGGATTGGAACAGGCAGGCACACAGTGTTGCCTGAATGCTGGCTGGGGCCCACGCTGGGGTCAGCTGACTGACTCTGGCCCAGCTGAGGGCGACCCCCTCCCTCATAGCTCCCACTGGGTCTGGGCAGGCCCTGTGCCCTGCGATGTGGACACAAAACAAGTCCGAAGTCCCATCTTCCATCTGGGCTTCCGGCTCCCAACTGTCCACAGTAGGTCCTCATGGTGGACACAGCCACCCCTGGCCTCCCTGACACCCCTTAAAAATGTACATAACTAGGCCACATGTTTCTGAGAGACAGCAGCCGGGGCCCGCTGGGCGCCCCCACTTTGCCTGTGCCAACCAGCGCTGCTGACCCTGCCGAGCCGTCCCTAGATCTTACAGTTGCTGCGGGAGCAGTTCTGGGGGGAGGCTCTGGGAGGGGCGGATAGAGCGGGAGCGTTTGAGGCTGCTGCCCTTGCTGCCCCCGCCCCCGCCCCCGCCCGCCAGCGAGTAGGAGCGGCCGTGCATCATGACGGCGTTCATGCCGTTGGCCATGGAGAAGGACTTGAGGTGGCTCTTAATGGTGACGGGCAGCGGGAGCTTGTCGATGAGGTGGACCGGCGTACAGGACACGATGGCACGGCAGCACAGGTCCTGCAGACTGAACACTAGGGGGTGAGAGGGCGGGGTCAGTGAGGGGCAAGTGGGGACAAGGTGATGGCGGGTGTGGTCGGCGGGGCAGGGGGTGGTAGGCGTGGCCAGTGAGGACAGGGCGGAGTCTCACCTCGGTTGGGCCTCCAGATCTTCTCCATGCCGTGGCGCATGAGCACGATGCGCGAGAGCTCCGTGAAGGACTCGGTCACGTTGAAGTTGCACAGCGGGCTGACCTCAAAGAAGGTCATGCAGTTCTTCTCGGCGTAGGCGCGCGCCTGCTCTGTGGGCACCTGCCGCTTGAAGGCCAGGTGCAGCCGGTTCCCCACCAGGATCCGGGGGACCCCGGGTGCGTGCTGGGGGCACAGGCCACAGGGCTCAGGCCAGGCCACCGCAGCCCCCTCCCCATGGGTTCTCCAGCCCCATCCCACCCCTCGGAGGTCTGGCTGAGCCCCCAGGGGGTCCTGGGATGTTTTCAGCCGCCCACTGTCCCCACCTACCTCATCAATCTCCCTGATCCACCGGTCGATGCCGTCAAAGGACCAGCGGTTAGTGATGTCGTACACTAGGAGGATGCCCTGCTCAGGGATGCAGGGATAGAGGGGGAAGGTTACAGTGCCCACCAATGCCACCCCCATTCCCACAGAGGCCAGGACCCTCAAATGTGCCCATGGGTTCAGACGTCTCAGGGTCATCTCACGAACACTGCTTCCTCCCTCCTGGAAGTGCCAGAGCCAGCCCTCGGTGTTCTAAACTCACGAGACTAGGTGGGGCAGCAAGGGGGACAGGGTGGCGAAGGGTCACCCTCCCATGCTGGCAGTGGGGTGGTACTGAGTGTCCCTGAGACAGCAGCTGGCTACCAGCCTGCAGCCGCCCCTGTACAGTCTTCCTGGATGGGCTGTCCCCGGTGGCCTGGGGGTGTCAGAGGCCAGTGTCCTTGGCAGGCTGCCTGCCCTGGGGCTCTCCGGCAGCAGCAGACAGAAGCTAGGGTGTCAGTCACCAGGTGCTGCCAGCCTGGCTGCGCACAGGCTGCTGCAGGGACTCCCCGCCACGTCCCTCAGAGACCAATTACTCTGAGCTCGGGCCCGGGGCGAAGCTCAGGGGCCCCTCCTTCTCTCTGCCCCGGATTCCATGGAGCAGGGTGGGTGATGCCTCACCCACTCACCCCAAAACCCCCATCGAGGGCAGAACCCAGACTTCAAGTCACACAGTACTCACCCCACAAAATGCCTGTGTGGTGGGTGGGCAGGAAGGGGGACATAGAGGTAGAAGGAGCCTCCTCAAAGTGAGGGCGTGCAGGACTCAGTGCCCTGAAGCACCCCTCATTCTGAGGCTGTCTCTGTCCCCAGTACTGGCCCACTTTTGGATCCAGGGACAAGGCGAGATGGGGCCTGGAGGATGTCCTGAGGCCAGATTCGGCCTCACAGGTACCAGGAGCCAGATAGGTGCAGGGACAAACAGGGTCCCTTGCAGCTGGGACAGTAGAGGAGCTGGGGGATAGGTCCAGCGGAACCACTGAGAGGCAGCACGCGCTGACAAGTGTGCCATTCTGAACAATCCTGAGGATGCTCCCTGGCAGGCAGAGGTACTCACCTCTACCCCCCAGCACCCTACCCTCCACCACAGGGGGACTGTGTGGCTGTACCTGCACCTGTGATGCCACAAGTCACAGGGAGGAGTGACAGCCTCACTCAGGCAGCAGGGACCGGGGCAGGGCTCACTCAGGCAGCAGGGACCCGGGAACCAGGGCAGGGCTCACTCAGGCAGTAGGGACCAGGTTCACTCAGGCAGCAGGGACCAGGGCTCACTCAGGAACCAGGGCAGGGCTCACTCAGGCAGCAGGGACCAGGCTCACTCAGGCAGCAGGGACCAGGCTCACTCAGG